TATATATATATATATATATATATATATTGTTTTTGTTCATTGTTTCAATTTTGCTTTAAAGTTATGTGATCAAGTTCATGCATATTTTCTTAAAACTTCAAGTATGAATATCTTAGTTACAATCGTATACATGTAAACTTAAAAATAGCACAAATCGACAGAAGCTACAAACTTGATTGAATTGAACCTTAGATATCATTATCATATTTCCAAATTTAACGAAACCCTAAAATGCTTATTTCGTAATCGTTCAAAACTCAACTGAAATCAAAAGAGTTAGTAGATTCGTTTCACTCAGAATAGGAATAGACTAGGGTTTAGATATTTCTAGTCATGTGACATTGGCAATTGAATTTTTTTGTTGTTTTTGGAGAATATTTAAGAACATTTGTTGTGTACAAATAGCATAATTATCACGAGGAGATGTCACACAAGTTTGTGGTCCATGTTGTTGTCTGGTCTGCCTAATGGCATTTAATGTGATATGTTGTCTTTGGACTATACAAATACCTAATGTTCATGTCATTTCACTAAAATAAGTTGGAGCTGAGACACTACCAAACACCCTCCTCCACTCATGAGTTTGATAATGAAATTTAATAAAAAATAATTATTTGAAATTGACTATTTGGTTGGTTTGAAATCAACTTGTAAAATGCTTCGTCTAGAGAGTAATAGTTCGTGTTTGACTAATTATTAATTAAGTGCTTGTATTTGACTAATATTCTCAAAAAGTATTTTTGTTTGGTTTGAAATCAGTTTGTAAAATGCTTCGTCTCGAGAGTAATAATCCATATTAAACTAATTATTTGATAAATGCTTTTATCTGACCAACATTCTTAAAAAGTATTCGGAGAATATAAAATTTAATATCGGTAATCATGTAAAAAATAAAAGCAAAACACTTTCTTTTTTTTTGGTGAAAAAAAAATTATTGCTTTAGCTTGGGTATAGAAACATCTTCTACTACTATTGTTTTTAATTTACTTGTCAAATGTCAAAATATAAGTAAAAGTCATTTGTTTATTCTAAAAAAAAAATATCCTTTTACCAAACACACTCTTAAGTTCCTTTGTTTTCTACTCTCTCTCATTTAATTTGTTTATTTTATTTTTTTAGTGTATTAAAAAAATGAATATCACTCTTTTTTTTTAATAATTCTTTATTTTCAACTTTTTATATAAACGTTTAAGATCATAAAGTTTAAAACGTATTTTAATATATTCTGCATGTCTTTAATTGAAATCACAAGATTTAAAAGTAATTTTTAAATTATTATTTTTTATATTAATTCAAAATAGCACAAATAAATTAAAAAAAGGAAGTTCTTATTTTCCTACTAGACTACATTAAATAATGATCATTAGCGTCAATTTATTCTTAATTGTTGCTAAATATATATATTTTTATCGATAATTAACACTCTTTGTATATGTTCCTAAAAACCTTTAGTGACGTTGGTTCTAATGAAATTAACTAATATCAATAAAAAATTTAACATTCTTTATTAATATCTATATTTATTATCGCTAACAATTATTTTTGTTACAGTGCTATTTCCTCCGATGACTTCCGAAACAGAAAAAATATGAGGAAACAAAAGAAAAGATACAAGAGAACTCAAAATTATGTAAATAACTAAAGGACAATGTAGATAGGAATGGGTATGTTATGGGTTTCCATTTCCATGCAAGAGGGAGAAGAAAAAGGCTGAAGATGTTTGCTGTAAAAATTTTAACATTTCGTTATAACGTATTGTATTATGCTGTATTGTATTTTATTTTTATAATATAATATAATATTCAAACATATTATGTTATACAAAAAATGCTAGAGATCTAACAACTTAAGTAATAATCCTACGAGAGAAATAAGATATGAGACAAAACTATATAAAAAGTTAAATAAAGAGTTAAAAAAGTTAAAAATATTTTAAACTATTTTACTATATAGTGTTTAATACATAATTATTTAGAGTGTGAATTTCTTATATCAGCTAACACCCAATGGTGAGTGAAACAACCCAGATATTGACTAGATTAAATATTTGTCTAGAAGTACTTTAAGCGTGTTTGTCCATAATACCTTCATCCATATGACATATATAGCGACTCTATTTGTTAATACATTAGTTTTTAAATGTATTTTTGATTGATTTCTTTAAAATCCTAATCTCTTCCTTTTCGAGTCAAAGGTATCAATGTCATGAAAGAGATGAAACCACGTCTAAGAAAGTGGAAAAGAAAATAGTGAATTTCATAGTTGAAATAAACTAATTCATATGGTGATAATTTTAACTTTTAACATTAATTTTTAACCTCACATTAATTATTTAGATTTTACACAATAAAATTATTTTTTCACATGGCAGAGTTTTGGAACATAGGAGAGAGTGCAGACACAATACATTAAAAAGTTATTTCACTTACTATTAGACGATCGTTCAGATAGAAAATTTACCATTTGAATAATTTAAGTAAAAAATTAAAAAAATGAAATTAATCACATGTGTTTTAACCATTTTAACTCTAAAATAAAAATAAAATAGGATCTATCATATAACAACAAAAGCAAAAAGAGAAAAAAAAATCACATTGTATCTATTGTTACATAAATTAGATTTTTTTTTCATCATTACATAACACTATATTTAATTATTTGACACAAAATTTTTTTAATAACAAATGATATGATGCAGTAAATGAGATCGGTCATTCTTTATTTAGAAATTTCAGTTTCAAACTTCAAATATAAACATAAAATGTTCATTATATTACCTTCGAATACATCCTACTCAGTGTGAATTCGAATTTGTCAAGTTTCAATTCTATTACCAAATAACAAATGAGAAACAAAAAGAAATATACAATACAATATAATACATCTGTTTAAAAAAAGAACGAGTTAAACTTGACACATAATTCAAGAAAATAAAAAAAACTTTTCAATTTTGTAATTTTAAATTAAACTTATGTCAAATATATCAAAACATCTTTTAATCTTATAGCTTTTACTATGCCATATAAAGAGTCATCTTTTTAAACAGATTCAAAAGAAAAGTTGATCAATCTTTTTAAAACGAAGATAAGTAACAAACACCGGAAACAATGAGCTAAAAAAAGAAAAGAAATAGAGAAAACAAGAATCTTGAATTTTCATTTTTACTAAATTTTCAACTTGGTGTATGAAGAGGATCCAATATCCTTGTCTTTGGTGGGGACTCACACACATACACTTCTCTTTTAAACTCAATAGTAGTACTAATTTGTTTTTTCCTATGTCTCTTTATTCCTCTCTTTGTCAATGTTTTAATGCTTTGCCTTTTTTCATCTAAACAAAAAGCCCAAAAAATAACAACAACAACAAAAAAAAAATAAAAAAATACAACTTTTAAACAAGTGTGCTACTTTTTTTTTTTCCTTTACTCTCTCTCCAATGATCTTATCTTCATTTATTTCATGTTATAACTTATTTTTCTCTAAATTTTCTTTCATCTTTCTTAAACTAAAAATACTCACAAAACAGAAAACAGTTTCTGTCATGTCACTTCTTATTCTGTGCTACAACTTTCTTGAAATTAAAAAAAAGGTACACTATGCTTTTCTGCCCCTTTTTTCTCTGTTTTTATAATATCTTGAGCTTTTCTTGAATTTTTTTGGGTTGTTAGTATTTTTTTTGTGATTATTTTTGTTATGGTAATTACTAATAAATGCTACTTATACTTATATTAGTTGTTGTTACTATGATTATGATTCTTGAATTCATTTCTTGATCTGCTATGAGTAGTTTGAATTTTGGTCTAGTTGGTGTATTTTAGGTTTTAGTGGACTATGGTGTTTTGCAATTTTTATGTTGTAATTTAGATATATTACGTTACTTTATTTTTTTCTTATTTATTATTAATCTATCAAGGGTAGGGGAAGGGAAAATTTATAAGGTGGTAATCGAATCCTGTGTAATAAGGTGAATGTTCAGCAGTCAACTAACGGAGCTAGCTATCAAGATTCTGTACTTTTAAGTTTGAAATTGTCTTATGGACAAAGTTTCACTATAGGTGAAAATAAAGAAACTTGATTTTGTGTCTTTTTTGGTACTGTTTTATGACCTATTTGAGGTGTAAATATAAATAGGGATAGATTACACTAAAGGGAAGAGTGGCAAACTTGGTTTGAAGTTGAGGAACTGAACTAATTTATCGAAGTTTTCGTCTGTGAAAATTTGTGAAAGATGTTGAATTGTTGTTGAAATTTTGTAGTTTAAAGCATAGTAGGCTTGATGAGCTCATGATTACATGGCAAATAAGTGTATTTTTCTACTGATTTTTTGGTTTGATGATGAGTTATGTTAGGTGTTAAGATACCTCTAGTGAAATTGTGTTGCCGAGTCGAACCAAGATTTGAACTTTATGAGTTCTAATTGAATTCTAAGAAAGCAACATCAGGTGTGTGTTAGTAACTGAGTTTTTTTTTTACTTGTTTAGTGAATTTCTTAATACAAATACAGAGTTCGAACTAAAGTTACTAGGTTCCGCAGAACCATAGTTTGGCTTCTAGCTCCGTCCGTGATTGTGTTCATTTGCTTCCTTGATGTTTTCCAGTTTCTCAAATTTTTTCTGATGTTGCCTTTTGTTGCCCAGGTTCTTCCAAAAAGTTGAATTTTGCTAGAGTTCAATAAGTTTTGGAGTTCTTCTAATTATTTGTCTTAGTGCATTAAACTGTAATTCCGTAGGTATTGTATTTCTCATTTCAACCTTTAAGTTTAGCACTATGTTGTTGAACTAAGCTTTTTCCTACACGATTAAACTGACCTTTGAGTCATTACTGCGATAACAACCAGTTGTAATTAAGGTTCAACATGAGCTTGAGCTTGGTGTAGATCTTTTCCCATATGTGAACAAATGATGTACTTTTATTTGATGCACCGGTACTGATCAGAGAATGTAGAATTCCTACTCGTTCATGTGGTATCGATTTTACTGTTCTTGGAATTTCAAAGCTGTTTCCATAGAGGTATACTGAACTTGTCCTGTACGATATTTCTCAAACGACGTCCCTTGGTTATAATCTCTTTCTCCGTAATTGTATTAACCATTGGAGTTACTTGTACCTACAGAGCAGAAAGCAAATCAAAACCGATACTTTGATGTTATTCATTTTGGTTTCTGTGCGACTTGGTTTACAATTCGAGTGAAATGATTAATGTATAGCTAAATAAATTGATATTCATCATTGGTCAATTGAT